GCCGTGGCGGGGGTCGGCGGCGCACATCATGTTCTTAGCGTCCCACATCTGCTGGGTCAGCTCCGGGACGGTGAGGGAGATGTACTGCTGGGAGCCACGGGAGGTGAGAGGGGCGAAACCCACCATGAAGAAGTGCAGACGGGGGAATGGGATCAGATTTACGGCCAGTTTTCTCAGGTCCGAGTTCAGCTGACCTGGGAACCTCAGGCAACATGTTACTCCACTCATGGTTGCAGAGATCAAATGGTTCAGGTCACCAAAGCTAGGAGTGCTGAGCTTCAAGGTTCTGAAGCAAATGTCATAAAGAGCTTCGTTATCAAGGACCATGCATTCATCTGCATTCTCTACCAGCTGATGCACTGAAAGAGTGGCATTATATGGTTCCACAACCGTGTCTGAGACCTTGGGAGAAGGGAAAACTGAGAATGTGAGCATCATCCTGTCCGGATATTCCTCTCTAATCTTCGATATCAAGAGGGTTCCCATGCCAGAACCAGTGCCTCCTCCAAGGGAGTGACAAACCTGAAAACCTGGACCACAGAAACAACGGACAACAAAGTTGGAAAAAGGTTGTTGCCATTCAATAACCAATTTGAGTTTTTTAAAAGCGCACTTAGAACAAAGAGAAATAGGAAAAGTAATAAAGTACTCAATCATTCATGATATGCAACGACTTGGCTGCAAACATGTACAGAACAGCCACACTTGGTTTATAAAGGAGTTAACAATTTGATTTGTGGCTTTCCCCAAATTGCTATCCTCATCAAGATAACAAAGCTATGACTGCATTATCAACTACTGTAGTCAGATCCCAAAGCTTTAAAGTGATTTTTGCACATTCAAACCCAAACGACTTAATTTACTGCAAGTTATACTTTCATTAGAATTCACCATGTGAGGCATTCACGAACTCCTCCAGTCCTTTTGCTAAGAAAAGGTTGTGTCGGTACGGTAGCTGGGGGATACGACAATAATCTGGTTGTACGATCTCAATCATGGAGGGGCCAAAAATTAGAAAAAGGTTTTTTTGACCATTAAAGCTGGCTTTCTTTTATTTTTTTAAGTTGAAATGGGTGGAATAAAATCAATCCAATGGATTGTGTGGCAAGAGAGACAAATGTGGGATCCACCCACCACTCAGCTTTGTCCCCTTAACAAATCACACATCATAAAATTTAGTAAAAAAATAACAAAGAACAGTAATTCCAGAGAACTTTCATTGTTAGCATAAAGCAATTATTAATGTTGTTGCTTATGTTAAAAGCCAGTTGTTCTACCAAACCTGGCGGAGGATCTTTCTCTCTCTCTCACAATATAGTATATATTTGGATATGGACAAATTTGACACCCTGTCTAACCAATTAGAGTGCAGAGGCAGGAAATGGGCGAGAAGATTTAGCAGTTAGCAAATCGGGATCAAGATGGATAGTTCTACTGACGATCACTACACATAATTTGTTAATCTTAATTTTCAATTGTATTTAGGAAAGCGAAGGCAAATAGTCGTGGTTTTCCAGGTAGAAAAAGTAAAATGGTCGGAGATTTAGAGAACAGTCAACGGCTGAGCATATAAAAGTAGTTTAGTGGGTAACAGATACGGATCTGAGCAAGCTTACAACAGCCATCTCTTTCCCCCTCATACTTATCAATATTACGCAATAAAAGAAATTAGTACAGTTGATTTTTCGAACTTGCCCTCTCCCATTGTTTACATCAATAGAGATTAGGCCATTCATGCTGTTTAATCTGCCACCTAATTTGAGGAAAACCAAATCCGATGGTATTTTGAATTAATTTTTAGACAGCAACCAGGACTGTAACTATGAACCAAAATTCATATGAGAACTACGAAAAATTTTCAGATGCGTTGGATAAACTAACCGATATTACATCGAAAAGTATTTAGGTAATTTGCCAAACACGGTGCCTAAAAAGGGATTCACCAATGGTTCAATCTAAATGAACAGGTTCTTTGAATTCACAAGGCAGTATAGTCAGAATGTATGATCGAAGAACAGAGCAGTAGAATGAACAAATTATTTGAATTCGAAAAGCAGTATTATAGTCACAAAGAACAGAGCAGAATGAAACCAAAGAACAGAGCATAATGAACAAATTATTTGAATTCGGAAAGCAGTATTATAGTCAGAATGCGTCACCAAAGAACAGAGCATAATGAACAGAATATTTGAATTCGAAAAGCAGTATAGTCAGAGCAGAGTGAACAGAATATATGATTTACTCGAAGAACAGAGCGGAGAAGGTGATACGGATACCTTGCAAGCAATCACAATTCTCAGCCTCCTTACGAACGACGTCAAGAACCGAATCGATCAACTCGGCTCCTTCGGTGTAATGGCCCTTGGCCCAATTGTTTCCGGCACCGGACTGGCCAAAAACGAAATTATCGGGGCGAAAGATCTGACCGTAGGGACCGGATCTGATACTGTCCATAGTACCGGGCTCAAGATCCATGAGAACAGCCCTGGGAACGTATCTACCGCCAGAAGCCTCATTGTAATAGACATTGATCCTCTCCAATTGAAGATCGGAGGAAGGATCGCCGTTGTACTTTCCGGTGGCGTCGATGCCGTGCTCATCGCAGATGACTTCCCAGAACTTGGATCCGATTTGGTTGCCGCATTGGCCACCCTGAACGTGAAGAATCTCTCTCATGGTATCTTCTTGTTCTTCTACGAGATTGAAGGGAGAAAAAGGCTTCTAGTTCTTGTTGATGAAAATGGATCGACGCGAAGAAGATGAAGCGCGAGCTTCCATTATATCACACACACACGCCCCGGAATTCGGGGGCTAACATGGTAATAACCAATGGCCGGACCATCATTTCTGTAACTGCCGTCTGATCTAAATTGGACGCCCCTGATTTCACTCTCACCATTACGTATTTTTGGGCTGACCTACTTTTACCATTTTAACCTTCCAACTTCCATTACCTTTCCGTTGAGCTATATTTTGGTCAGGTAATTTTTCATCGAGTTAGAAAAAAAATGGCATTTAGAAATATTTTTGGAAAAATCTGAATTTAAAAAAAGAGATGAAATCAATCAAGACCGTCCAACCACCATGATTGGATCTGTGCGGGCCAGACTGCGGTGTGTGACAGCGAGACGAAACGAGAGATGGAACAATCCGCACGTTAAGATGATATATTCGCACGTGCGCGCTCCGTGAACATGGGCCCACCACCTCACTTCTCTCTCAACAACTTTTTGTAATTATCCGTTATTTTTCCCTCTTTTTTTTCTTTTTTATTTTTCACAGTAGGAATTTTTTTTGGGGAGAAATGGAGGAAAAATAAAAAATAAAAAAGCAAAACAAAAGCAGCTGTGAAATTGAAGTCCGTTGTTAATGATGGTGCATGAGGTGGGAGTTCGAATTCATGACCTTCTTATCAGAGATAGATATCTTAACCATTTGAGTTATGTTCGATTTGGCCTTTATTTTCTATGCATAAATCTACTTTTAAAATAAAAATATAAACGGATAAAAATAGTTACAAACACAAATTTTTGTTTTAAATTTATCATTTTTTAAATATGTGTAGGAATGAGGATTTGAGTGTCTAAACTAATGTTACCTTTATTTTAAATTTATTGATTATTATTTTGATAATCATAATCATAATATAACGTTTTATTTGATAATCCAATAGACACAATCATGTAAGATAAACTTAAATATTAATTAATTATAATCATAATTATATTAATCTAGCTTCTATTTCTTAACTATTATTTTTGTGATTTTTTTTATATTTATGGTCATCTCAAAAATTTTCTAACATTATATTTGTACAATAATTTAATTCCAACTTAATAAGGAAATTCGATCATATATAACTCAGTAGATAAAACCGGTATGTTATTAAAAGATTATAGTTCAATCGTCACCCCATAATTATTGAACAAAAAAATCTAACTCAATTATACTAAATAACAAATAAATAAAATTTAAATATGGGAAAGATGGGGAAGAAGATAGTTCTTCATCTTTCAAAATTCTCAATTTTATCTTTCATGCATTAAAATTTCTCAATTAGATATTTCATTTAAAAAAAGGTAAAATTTTGTGAGTTAGAGTTGATATATCATTAAATTAGACATATTTGAACATATAAGCATGTCACTCAGAATGCTATTTGGCACATGATGCTCAACCAGTTTATCAACAAAATTTCACCTACCTATTAACAAAGTATATTTCTTTCAAGTGACATGTCGAAGTGATATTCATACGTGAACAAATATTTCAATAAATCAATAACTTAATGACACGTACACATTTAGTCCATGTTAACAAATTTAGTCACCATGTTAACGGTCATATCATCGTTTCATTAGTCAACTACATTCTAAGAATCATTTAGAATGATTTTTTAAATTCCAAGAACTAAAATATTCATTTTGTATTTCTATGGTTCAAATACACACCTAATTCAAATCTGGTGGAGAAAGGTTATTTGATCCTAAAAATAGTATAAAATCAACTTCTGATTATCTTTGGTACTCCAAAAAAAACTTGTCATTATCTTTGATAACAAACAAAAACTAATAGCATAAAAGTTGTACTAAAAATGACCTAAGAGTACTGGAAACCACTTTTAAACTACTTAAAAGGAAAAATTATTGTATGCGTTGCAACTATCTTTTGATGCAAATTCGAATCCTATGTATCCATAATATTCGAGCCACGTTATTTTAGTCTTCTCAAATAATTTATCTTATTTTAGAGACTTTAGGGTCTAGTTTGTTAGATTATGAAATTAAAAAAAAAAAAGGAATTTGAAAAATATAAAATATAAAAGGAAAGATTTCCTTAAAGAAAACAGAAAAGGAAAATAAATAGTAATTAATAGAAAAAAACATAACTATATCTCTTTCTATAATGGAGAACCAAGTTTAGAAGTGGCTACCAAAACTGACAGGATCTAATTGAGAAAGGCGCATGTAATAGGGAAATTAATTTGCAGTTAAGTGGCTATGTTGATAATTATTTGCAATCTACACCTTATCCCTCAAATTGGAGTGGGGCACAACTTGAATTTTAAGTTTTTTCGTTGGAACAAAAATAAAATCTTTAACAAAAGGACGTCTTGTAAAAATATAAGCAAGTTGAGGGGTTAAAGGTGAAATTTTAATAAAGAGAGAGCCGTGATGACTTCCTTACGAATAAATTAAAATCATAGTTAATTTCTATATGTTTAATTTAGAAAATTGGCTGTTTCAAAAAAAATATATATTTAGAAAATTGGCATGTGGCGTTCATTTATAGGGTTGTAAACACTAATATTACTTTAAAAATAATTGAAGTGCTCCTAGAGAGAAAGATGATCCAAGGGGGATCCTCTTTAGTATTAGCCCGATCAAAATACCAACATGAACGTAGTGTAGTTCAATTGGTTAAAGCATCTAATTTCGACTAAAAAATCGTGAGTTTGAATCTTTACCCTCACATGTACTAAAAGTAATTGACCATTTTCAATAAAAGATGGGAGATTCGAACATATTCTAAGAAGGTAAGTAATGCATGTATTTTTTACATATTTTCGAAACTCTAGAGAGAGTTATACGTCGGTACATGAGCTTTTCTCCCTTTTTCTCCAATCTCCATCACGTTGGTAGCTATTGTAATTATTAGTTATAGTGTTGTTATTAAGTTTTTCTTTTCTTTAGATAAATTCTTTTTTTAATCAATATCAATGTTTCTTTCAAATTAAATCAATGTTAATGTTGGTTTCTTTTGATAAAACGTTATTATTAAGTTAATGAATGACTAATAAGAATATGATGAATTAACGAGTGAAATAAAGCTTCGGTTGTACCAATCGCGAGACCGACCAGTATCCAATTAGAAGAGTTGAAATAGGCCAATTACCATACCTAATTGATAGGAACCTTTCCATCAAAAATAATAAAATAAAATGTAGAAAAAATAAAATAAAATGTAGAAGCCTAAATAAGAAAGAAGCCCAAACTTGAAAAATTCTACCCAACAAGCCCAAATGGATCCATCATCTCCAACTAACCCCAAACTTGTAAAATTATACCCAATCACTTTTAAATCATTAGATCTTCGAACAAGTTAATATTTTTACATAATATTATCTATTTTGAACTCAGTTTTTATTTAGATTTATTTTGTGTGTTAAAAAATACTTCATAATAATAGACTTATTGTATTTATTTATACATCACACATTTTTCTCAATCATAGTAATTAATTTGAGATCAGTTCACCTTCCTAATCATTTCACCATTAAATTGAACCCATGTATTATGTTACATAGAAAAATAAATTTCAAAATTTGATAAATTTTTATTGTATATCATTTATATACCATTTTTATATTATTGATAAAGTATACCGGTGAATATATCTAATATAAAATATATAATTTATATACTATTTGTATGATAAGGTATATCATTGATATAGTATCGTTTTATAAAATATATTATCAATATACCCGTATAGAGTATATCATTTATACATCAATTTTTGATATCATTGTTAAAGTACGTTACTAATATACCTAATATTAATTTGTTATTATTCAAGTAATTATGTTATAATTGAAAAATTCTCTATAGTTACTTTTTTTTTTTTTTTGTCATTGGACAAATAATGGGCCAAATTCCAATCGTATTATACAAAATATCCGTCGTCTTTTTTGTCGAGAAACTAATAGATTTTCAGTTGTCAGTGAATTTCATGACCTATAAATATAAGATTAGATTGTATTTGAGAAGTTGACATATATCCATGAAATATCAATCTTTATTAGATATTTCTTTTTGCTGTCCGTTACACTTACATCACAACAACTAATTTCAAAATCCCTTGTGCAGTAAGCTCAAATTAGAAGCAAGTCAAATCCCCAAAAAGTCAACCCCCAAATTACCTCACTGCCCCCGAATCTGGGCAGGATATACGCCTCCAGCGGGAAGACCGGACGCGGTACAGATTAATTAAATACAATAATCACACTTGTCAATTCCACGTGGATGAGAACCATACCGTCCGATGAGGTGATGGAGTCTTTTTACGTGAAAGGACGAAAATGCCCCGATCGTTATAATACGAAAGCAATTCAAGTAAATAATTATGATTATAAAAAGTCGAATGTATTTTTTATTATTATTTTTGGTCATTGGAACCAAAAGTCAAAAAAATAAAAATAAATAAAAGAGGATAAAAGTCAAATATAGTTAAATTGTTTAGAGCATGTTGCATGTGTATATGCCACTTTTTATCTTAGTAATTGACACTTGCAATTTATTTAGATATAATTTAAAGGGTTGTTTTTTGGAGTCGTTCGGAAAATAATTATGTGGTTTCTAGGATAAAATTTTACTATGAATCTAATTAACCAACTATTTTTTAAAGTAGTTTTCTTGTAGCTTATTTAAAGAAGATTGTATGTTTGGGAAAAAGAGTTGGAATTATTTTACTTTTTAAAATTATGAAATTGTGAACCTTGCTTTTCAATATTTTTGAAAGTAGAGACAAGAAATTTATAAATGACCTCTCAACGAATTTTATAAGCAAAAAATAATGGATATACTTCTTTTAACAATTTTGTTTTTAATTTTATGCGTTTTTTTTTGAAGAAATGTAGTTGTAGAAAAAAAAAAAACAAGATTGAAGAAAACATAAAAGCTATTAATCATATTTGGCGATTTTTTTTAAAAACATTTCCAAAGAATAGTTCATAAATAAAAAATTTATTTATATTGAACAATAAGCTTGTGTTATAAATTTTATAATTAATGTGTGTT